GTCTCAGGTGCCCAATTTATCCCAGGCCGTCTTATTGAGTCGAAACGCCCAAGTTCCAGCCAGGACCCATGAAGCTAACAGGCATTTCCTCTGCAGAGCTTCTACTCTTTCGAAATAGTGATAGTCCTAAAGACTCCGTCTAGATCGCAAAGACGTCCTGCTCCCCGGTTACTGGCTTGACACTTTGACTTGTCTATTTCTGTCTTGCGTTCCACAAGTCTCAGAGACAAATAGCGGGACCTACATACATTGGCACGTCACAACGCATGCGAGACAAAAGAAGGAAGAAAAAGCAAATAGGCAGGCGTCAAAAAGAGCGTGAAAAAGCAATTCCCCATGTTGTTTCCATGCTTTCTTTTTTACTCGATTCGTCTGGCCTACATTCCCGTATCTTTCTCGAAGCTCTCCAGTCACAGACACGGCCCAGCCGCCTTTGAGCCAGCCTCATGCACGGCACGGCTTCCCCGGTGGGAAAGCTGTTGAGACAAAGAGCTGTTCAGCTGGAAGAAAAGATGAGGCGAACTTGCAGAGAGCTGAACTTTTATGAATCAATGGTTTTTGGCTGCGCTTTTGTTGCCTTTTTTTCTTGCTTCTCAGATATGCTCGAGTTTCGTCGCCATATCTGCACGAGATAGTGACACCAAGCCAAGCAAGCCTCCAAGACAATAGCTATCGTGTGCCGGGTTCCCCTAGGCATTGGTGTTTTGCAGTGGTTTTGACGTGCTACGCGATCTACGAGCACAGCAAGCCTCATCATTTGCAATTGTTCTAGATCACGTAGCACCAAGCGGGCGAGTTGTTAAGTCCATGCTCGTAGACGGGGTTCAACAAGCAAGCCCACATCGTGGACCAACTTGATGGTCAACACGAGCGGCTGGCGATCGACTTCTACAGCCATTGGGTGCAAAAAGTAAACAATACACGTACCGGATAGGGTAAGACGCCTGTGAGAAGACGTGAGTGCATAAGAGGGCAGTGGATAAACCCATTGACACTCGCCCACCAACGCCATCAACATCAAGGGCTTGCGTCAATTGGAAGCACATCTGAGGCTGCTGCACCTTGGACGCCGACTTCTGCATGAATACCAACGTGGGCATGCCCGAGCTAGCGAAGGAGGGCGTCCTGGGCTGACGTGCCCTTCCTTGCCCAGGTTCCCAGCTTCACGGATAGCAAAAAGAGGGGAGACCCATAACCCATACGCAAGTGTGTGCCCCCAAGGCGCAGCGCATCAGAGGCTTCCTGCAGAGGAATTCATGGCTTGCGGTCGCGAACACAATGGAACATGGACTCTGCGTGGTCTGGAGGGACATTGGGCTGATGAAATGGTTGCACCCCCCCTCTGTCCTCCCTCAGAGACATTGACTCTTGTTTGACTGACAGACAAGAAACCGTCGGTCCGCACTTGGAACGACGAATTCCCGCACATAGGCGAGCGAGCCGCAATCCTGGGACCTTGTCTTTGTTCGACACTCCTTTTTTTACCCTATATTGACAACCTTCCGAAGTGCAACATGATTGTCGCACCTTGCATTGCGCAATGGCGGCGGGAGTAGAGGGTGTTGTTGCGTAGGTGGTGAGGCAGATTGCCAAGTTTGGAGCGGGGCCCTTCATCTCACGAATACCATTGCCGTTTTGCAAAATGCGACAATGCCAGACGTTGTCGATTCATGACAATTGAACCCAATAGCCGAAATGTGCTCATCCGGACTGCCTGTCAGAAAGGGCAGCATGACATGTCGTCGAGAAAAGATGACGCCTGTACGTGATGCGCGTATGTAAGAGCCGCCACGGCATAGGATAGGCATAGGCATAAGGCATGGAAAACTAGGCGAGGATCCCACGTTCTGAAACGACAGTCGATGTGTCAACCCACCAGCCTATCGATTTGACGTCGGCGAGCCATCCAAGTCATGCCAGAGGCATTAAACAAGGCGAACCTCTAGAAATCTCGTGGCTGTGAAGAAGAACCCCTCCTCCTTCCTTCGGCTCGCCTCTGAACCTCGAGAGGCGTCCATTCGGCCTTTGAGCCGCAGCCTGGATGGATGGATGATCCCACGTGGTGAAACCACACCAGAGACCCGAATTCTCTCCCTCGCAGCATGCAGGGAGCCAGTCTCCGTCTGCCAGGACGCGGGAAGGGATGGGGATGGATGGGAGCAAGGCTTTTTGGCCCCCAGGGATCCCCGAGGTGTCGTGTGTGTGTGCATGTGTTTCGAAAACATCCCGTCAACGTTCGGGGAGGAGGAGCCATTCCCTTACAGCGAGACCTCTTCCCTGTTCATTCACATGCGTCTTTGTCGAGCGGCATGTGTAAGACGTTGCACAGCATGGAGACATCGCCATCCTCGTCGATGCCACGGGCACCCGAAGCCAAGCGCAGCCAAGCGGCAGAACGAGGACGGACGACATTGGATGAAAACTCTTATCCCGAACTCGTTCATCAATTCGGTGGTGAGACGTTTGATGAAAGTGGCGGGCTGTACCTGGAATGCAAAACCTAACATGGGGACGAATGAGGGAAAAAAATGGTCTTGCATTGTTTTTCTGTCAACTCCAATATTACCCTCTCATGACGAGGTCGTATCCGCCCTGAAGAGCCTCAGAGTCAAAAAAGGCACCCACATTCGCAATGAAAGAGAAAAAAGGCGGAGTGGGGGCTAGTAAAGACCGGTCAGTGATGGCTTTTCCTGGTTGAGACAAATGGAAAAACAAAAAAGGCAACAAAATTTTTTGAAGTTGTGCAAAATGCTGCCGTCGTAGAACCCATGATGCACACATTTGTCCATCATTCAAAGTCTTGACCTACACGCCCATGAAGCGGAGCAGGCCGAGGATTTTCTCGCCGACGTCACCCAGCGGTCCTTGCTTTCTCGCGAGGAAGAGGAAGAGCTTCCGCAACGTCCGGGCCGACCCCCCGGCGATCAAGGAAGGTTCCAGGGGCTCCGAGCAGGGTACAGAACAGAAGGGAACAACAGACGGCCGGCCACGTAGGTACGGTACTGTAGTATTGACCGACCGAGAAAGAAGCAATGGATCTCTTCATCTCGATCCATGGATCCGTCCCGTCCTTCCAAGATGCTCCGGAGGCAAGGCAAGCATGACAATGCCCCCTCCCGCCGAAACAGCCCACATTTGCTCCATAATGTTCCAAATGCAAGGTCTCACTGCCGGCGAAGCGAATGAACTCCTCGTCCATCTGCCGAGATGGAAAGCAATAAGAGGGAAATAACGGCTCATGGGCGTGAGACAATAAGTCCAGCTTCGGATAATCGAGGCATGATAAGGGTAGGTCTCTTTCTTCCGGGTTGTTAGCGCCGAAGCGTCCGGGGGCAATGAGAGAGTTCGGTCTCTTGTTCCGTCAACAGGCGACCCGGCGGACCCTGCCGACGATGATGTAGATCTCGGCCGACTCAAGGTGAAAAGGGCATGAAACTGGGAGCGCCACAGCCTTGGATAGAAGACGCATTTGGCATTTGTAGGGGCTCCTGGTTCGACGACAGCGTCATCAAAGGGAGCGTCGCTAACAAGCCCTCAATCTCGCTGGATATCCAATCCAATCCCATTGCAATGCGTAGCCCGTGAGAGCCAAAGAAAAATTTTCTTAATCGCTGTTTCGGAAGCCGCCCTGGCCAGAACAACTATCGTTCCCCTGGCAAGTTTGCAAGTGAGCAAGACAAAGGGCAAGGGAAAAAGTTATCCACTATTTTTCATCTTCCAAGCGTCAAGCCAGCTAAGCCAGCCCAGTGAATCGTCTAGCCAGTAGCTCAGATCATCAATCTCAGTCAGCATCGCCGATTCCGAAGGTAACGATGCGTTGGCAGAACCCCAAGCAAAAAAAAGAGCTCCAACGTTTCAAACCTTGCAAATCAATGGATGGGGCTCCCCATCATCCAAGGCGGAAACGGGCGAGACGAGCTCCCGAGGGGGGCTAAAAATCTTGTAGAGGGGGGACCCGAAGTTTGGGGGTGGCCAGAGAGCTAAAATTGAGTGCGAAAAGACTTTTTCAGCGTGCTATCGTGAACCAGGGATTGCACGCCGGCGTCCCCAGTTGGCAGAGTTGTGCTGTCCTTGTCTTTGTCGAGTGAGAAAGAAAAAAAGAAAAAAAAAAGAGCTAGGCACACCAGGGGTGATTATGCATGATAGGTAGCATTGAAACTGTCTCTGGTGAATTGAGTTATCGTCTCACTCCATCTCGGCCGGGTGGCATCATGCCCATCGACGAGCACGTTTCGGGTTGCTGGTGATGGTGTTAGCTGGCCTCGACAATGGATTCATCATGGCGCCATTCATCGGTAATACAAAACAAGATGATGGCTCAGAGTGTCGCCGGACATCGGAGGCTTGAATGACTGTACTGACTGCTCTCACACCAATAGAGCTGTTCACGCCAAAGTCAATCGAGTCTGGGGAACGGAGCTGAGATGGAGCTCTCATGAAGCATGACCCGTCGAGCTTTTGCTAGCGCCCTCGTCGTTTTGCCTCAATCTGGAGATGCCATTGCGAAACTCGCTCCCTCCAAGTTTCTTGTTGGTTGCTTGGCTTAGTCACACTTCTCACCCTCCGCTCACACTCACCTACGAGGAGGCGCTAGGGGGTCGATGACTGTTTTGTTTGCTCAGAACCGGCCCAGAGTCTTTGACAAATGCTGCCAACCATGTCATCAGCCCCGTCAAAGTGTAAACAGTTGCCGAGTCACTGCAGTTAATGAAATCATCCCAGTCCATTATTTACCGTAGTTGAACTCGGGCAATCCTTGGAGAGACGCCCATCAAGTGCCGGCGACTCTCTGCAAAAGCCCCGAGAAAAGCAATTCTGCCCACTAGCCATCACCACTAACACTGTCCATCAGGAGGGTGACACCGAGAAGAGCTGGGGACGGAGATGGAGAATTGTGGAGAAGACTGGGCTGGCTTCGGCCTCTGCCGCCTGGTACTATGCATGGTCTGGTTTGTATGGATCAGTCTGAACACAGGGATGCCATGTGTGGACGCGTGTATGGAGGGAGAAAAATCCGTTCTTTGGCTATAGTATGCTATGCTATGCTATGCTGTGCAGTCTTCCGCAGTTCCTGTGAATGGCCAGTAACCCCTTGGTCAAAAGTGCAGCAACCCTCCCGATATGACAACCATCGACCGGCTCGTGTGCCTGGTCGGTCCTGTACGCCTGACCCAAAAATGTCCCCATCCGTTGTTGCATCCCGGCCGCTCTCTGGCGGGTAGCAGACGCCGTCGTGTCCCAGTATCATGATAACCTCCCGTGGATCCCAAGTGCTCCCATAATCCATGCGATGTCAACTCCGCCCTTTATTTGGTACAAGGTGCCCGTCATGGCTCCCGTATCCCGTAAACCCATGGACAATAAAGCCGCCCAGATGATCCCGCCCAAAGCAGGTCGAGATAGAGAAATCGTGTTTGGGTCGATGTGAAAACAAACTTTTTTTGATGCAGTGCTCCGGTGTAATGCCCTTCTTTGGTACAAACAAATTCTTGAGAGAAGAAAAAAAAAATGCGTGAGGTGTGAAGTGTTGTAGTGTTCGTGCTTATGCAGTTGTAGTTGTTGGAATGAGTTGCGTTGTCTTTGATTCAAAAGCAGCGAGGGTCGTTTGAGTGTAATGTCGTGTATGCGTGATGTGTTGTGTTGTGTTGTCTAGTATGATCGTCGTCGCTGCATCCTCACTTGCTCGAATGAGACAGCGTACGCTCGGAGCTCTTTCCTCGCCTTGTCAGACAGCTGAGTTGACTCGCCCGTTGTCGAGGTGCTCTGCATGGAGCAGAGGCTGCTGTGGGAGCTTGAGGGAGTCAGGGATCGGACGTTGGCGGTAGACTGCTCGGTGCCGTAGGGCTTGCAGTTTGGTTGGCTCATGTGTCGAGCGCCGTAGGGCTTCGCGTTGGAGAAGTCGTAGGCGGGAGACAGGTAGAAGCCTGGGCTGGAGGCTTTCGACGTCCAAGGGTAGGAAGGAGGAGCGAAGCCAGGTGAGCTGGCTTGCGAGGATGTTGTCGAGGTCTTCTCAAAGTCGGCCAGCCTGCAAGATTCGGAGCAGTAGGCGTCGGTCGAGGTTTGAACCTGCTTGTCGCAAGCGAGGCAGAAGGAGTGAGACCAGGAGTCGAAGTCCATGGCGTCGGTGTTGTGTGGTGTGTGTGAGTGGTGGATGAGTTGAGGGTGGTGTGCCCAGGAAGATAGATCGAGACGTTGACGAGTGTCTAGCGTCTCAATTTGTAGTCTTGTCTCTTGGTGAAGCCAGCCGATAGAGCGTAGTCAGTCGGATGGGTTGGAGAGGATGAGTCGAAGTCAAGTAGAGTTGGGGGACGAGTCAAGGATTACAAGCGAGTAAGGGTAGATAGAGATGAAGAGTGATGGCAGTGTCAGATCCAGTCAGGCCAGCAGCTCAAATGAAAGAAGTAGAAGCAATTGGAGAGATTGCAGATGAGAGTCGAGAGTGATAGCGGAGAAGGATGGGAGAGGTTCGAGGGGGACTCCAACATATGTACTATTCTGCTCTCCCGGGCTGTGCCTGGTGGATGATCACCTCAGTTGCACGACAAAGCCTGGCGCTAGAGGTACATTGCCTAAGAAAATGTGGAGGAGGGTACAGGCACACACCATTGCTCCGCTCAAAACAGCATAGCTCCTCAGTATCCCCACCCGAATGCCCTGCAGCAGATGCTAGCGCAGGCAGGGATCCAATTGGTGAAGTACGTACCCCCACTCCTCTCCTCGACAGAGTGGGCTTCACGCCCTGCCTGACGCCTTCACGCCCACGCCCTCTGGATGCTCATGGACGCCCGCCCGGCGTGGGTGGGCGAGCCAGAGGACGAGGAGGGGTGTGTCATGCCGACGCCTGGGTGTCTCAACCTTGATGGGGGAGTGTGCCACGGGCGTGAGAGCAATGACGAGGAGTGTGGGCCTGAAGGTGCAAGACTCCAGCGGAGGAGAGCTCTGCTGTCGCTATCGTAGCCCAGTATTAGCAGCACAGCACAGGGAGCGCAACGCTGTCCCCCAGCACTCAATGCACAACCATCTCTCGCCCATCCAGAGACAAGCCTGACAAAGGACCCAAGACATTCAGACACCAGACACTGGCGTGTGATTTTCTTGGAGACATGGCTGGCTGGCTGTGCCCTGTCTGTCCTGCCTAGCCTAGCTGAGGCTACGGATACTACGAAATTGCAATGAGTGCAGAAAATTTTTCCCATCTTTTGCTCTGTGTCAGTGCTCAGTCCACGTCCACGACAGCTATCGCCCATGTTGAGCTTCGATGAGGTGACTCAGGCGGGTGCGAACGGGACTTGAGGGTCCCGCCGCGAGGGCATCAGCCGAGATTCTTGGCTGGGGCCTGGGCTGATTGAGCACCACAGCGACATCGGTGGGATGATATTTCGCCTCCTCGCCGTGCAATTCTGCACGGTTCTGCCCGCTGGCCGCCGGAGTGCCCAGTGTCCCCCCGCTGCCCAGAGGTTGCTCTGCTCCAGAGTGGTGTCCAAGCTGCCTCCGTCAACCCCGTGCCTCCGCTCTCCGTGGTGTGAGGCCGGCTCGCCGATGGCCTGCTTTCTCCGTGTCCCATCGCAAACTCTGGCCCCTCATGGGATTCTCTTGCCGGCATTCTACTCTGCCGTTTGACCCAGTGACCACACTGCTGACTGGTCAATGGGTGTCGTCGACCTAGGGTTGAGTTTCTGAGCCTGGGGAGGGGGTTGCCGGCGAACAGCGACAACGACGCACGCCCTGGGTCGATTTCTCTCATATTCTGCTCGTCTCTGCTGTGAGAGTTATTGCTGCTGGTGCTGCTGCAGCGTTGCCCAAGCTCCTCTGGCTGTCTGCCTTCTTCACTGTGCCTCTCGCCTTGCCCATTCGCCAGGCGCTTCTCGCCTCTGTCTTCAGTGCGGCCCAAGGCCAGCCCAGGAATGGACAATGGAAGGCGTCTGCCGCTGATGACTGGTCGCTGGAGGGGAGCCTGGGAGAGCAGCACAGCAGAGCTGCGGCCGCAGGAAGCCCGCATTAGGATTAGCTGGAGGCGTCTAGTCCATTCCAGGCATGGTCGCTACTCCTCACCTTCCCACACCCCTCTCCACCTTTTTGGCCTCTGCTGCTTCAGTTGCTTCTCCACCTGGAGCACGCAAAATCCACTTGGACTGTCAACGTGCTGGCCGTCCGCTGCTCTCAGTTCCAGGGCCAAGATACCTTTGTCACTGTCAGTGACTTACAAGACGATTGTGAATATCATGTGCTGTTATCGCCCCAGATCACCCTTTAGCATCCTCATCTCGTCTTGTAACTGACGCGAAGAGTTTTCCAACACGTCGAGCACTTGCTGCACGGAGCAGACGAGCCAAGGCAATACGAGAAATAAACCATTCAGACACGGCATATTTGCTCATCTATTCTGCTTGAGCCATGGGTTCCTCGCTCAATGCGGCAATCCCATTCCTGTCTCGACCGGGTCCATGGCCAGACGCAGACATGACGCTGGAGTTCCCCTGCCGCTCTGCTGCCGTGTCGTTGACCATCAACCTCTTCTCAAGCAGACGCGCAATCGACTTGTGAGACGCTCGAAGCGCTCGACGTTGCAGTGACGCCATCATTCGCAAATGCGACGCCGAATTGCATGTCATGTCTACAAAGACCCCGTCCGGGGTTCTAGGTGGACCTCCCCAGAAGGGTATTCCGAAAGAGAACAAGATCAAACCGCCTAGTAGACGCAGTACCACCCTCTTGTCGGCCACTCTAGAGGCTTCTCCTGTCCTGCGCTAGGTGCATCACACCATTGGTCACTGTCTTGCACCTTAAACCTACGAAGCCAATGCCCTCCCAGCAGCCTTCCCACAAAGGTCTTCTGCTCGCCAGCCACAATACCTTTGGGAGGCGACCGTTGCACGTCGAGACGGCGAGGGTCAACCACCACTGTCCACCAGGGTTGTATCAACCACCATCCTCGCCACCAGATACGGCTTGACAACCTAAGCGGGATCAGCAATGGGGGAGATCAGGCAGAGAAAAAATTTCAGGGACTGGACCCTGGATTTTTCTGCGGAAATTTGCGAAGCAAGGAAAAAAACTCTATCTGATCGCCACAATCTGCCGCGAATCGTCCCCTCGAGTTAACACGACGGGATGTTCAACGTCTACCCATGTTTAGGTTGTCAGGCGGATGGTGTGAAGTTTTGCAAGCTTGCAGTGGATGAGTTACGAGTACTGATAACTCATGGACTCATTTGAGCCCAAGATGTGGCAGAGGCGTATCAAGTTGAGACGCGACTACGATGTACGCCCTGCAGCTATCAAAGAGACCAACCGCCAGGCACTCGGTTCTTGCATCTGTATGTCTATCACCTGCTGCACCGCGCCCTTCTTGTGCTCGAGAGCGTGCGAACAACCCAGTCTGTCACCTTGCTCTTGTGTCAGTTTGACTATCAATAGTCTCAAGACTCGGCGCTACGATATGACCAGTCTGTGCATCCTACCCCAGGTTCGCCAGGATTGCGTGGTCGAGAGGAGATTGACAGTGATCCTCTATCATGATCACCGGCTAACAAGCACGCAGAGCCATTTGGTGCTTGCTTCCATGGTCGTCGCCAAGTTGGCCATTCCATTTTCGATATTTCCTGCTTCTGGAGGCGGGGATGACAAGGGGTCGACAGCGAATCATGGTTGTTCTCGTTGTCTACCCCATCCAACCGCGTCCCGTCTTGATACAGCCACCTGACCACTTATTCCAACCTCCTCCGCAGAGCAACCCGGGACGCTGTAGGAGACCATTTTCGGTCCTCCTAATTGTATCTCTAACGTTAGCTTGTCGACAGGCAGGTATGGGAATAAGGTGCCTGCCGGGGCGTATCTTTGCTACGCTGTTTCTACCCCAGGAACGATAGGAGGCGTCAATCAAGTCAATATGATGCATCACGCTACAGCACCTTTGACGGGCAGGCGTCTTTTTTTCCCCGGATTCATGTGGAGCTTGCGGGCCTCGAGGCTCAAGGTGGCAGAAACACAAGGACCGTTTCTCGACTTGACATGTCGCTCGTCGAGGCCATTGTTGTAACTGGATGCGACTCAGAGTCATGCTCTCTAGGGTGACAGTCCACGAGTAACACCATTCGACGCTTGAGCACGACGTGTAAGATCATGACTGTGCCGTGCCGCCGAGCATATCAAGACAAGACAATACTGTAAGACGCCATCTGGAACGCAACTCACGCAGCATATGGTCTTACAGTTGCAGCGAGGTGTATCGAGAAGAGGGGCAGCCGGCTCAATTGCCAAACGGCAGACAATGGGCTGCTCTGATTCGCCAATCATGTGGTTGTCGCCGGCTTTGGCGGCTGTTACAACGGGTTTCACCTGGGCCGTTCTCGACGTCAAAACGTGGGAGAACAGATTCCTATCCGGAGACACTGCCGCATCTCCCACGATTTTTCAGCGAATGGTTGGCTGCCCGCGTTAATGAGGGGTCGATTCGATTATCAACAATCATGACAGGCTGAGTGCAGCAACAGGAGACGAACTCAAGTCTCGCTCACCCACGGCATTACACCACAACGCTGATCCTACAATGTGTCCTCGACGTACTGGTGATCCCAATGTGATGATGGAAGCTAAACAATTGATCGTCCAATGTATGTCAAACCTAAAGCCGAGACGCCGCTGACATGAAGCTAACACACAACGGCCGAGGTGCCCTGGTGCTACTATAGATTACGCCCCCCACTCGATCAATTCGTTTAATGGATGACCCCCAAATGTGTTGCAACATCAACGCCCGCAGCAACTCCGGCAAAGATACGACGGATAACGCTACCCAGGAGATAACTCGGGCGGCCGAAAGGCAAGACAATATTCCCCCACGGTTCGTGGTCAGCTCAGCAGGCTTGCCAGATTTGTCCATCGTCAGCCGTCAATAGCACAGCGCCTTGTCGGACAAGACGACGAAAGAGGAAGTGGTGCCATGGGAGCTGGCAGCTGTTTGGTCCACGATCCGGTACCAGCCGCTGTGACGTGAACTCTATCCAGTGGGCTTGAGCCTAGAACGGTGGGCTTGTCTGAATTGAGACTGCGATTCTCACCGGTGTGCTGGGTGAAGACCGCTTACACCGAGCAGTCTCTTCTTTGACGAGACCTTGCCGCTCTTGTTGGCTAGATCTATGCAATGGCATCAAAAGCCACAGCGAAGATTAGAGCGCCATGCAGGGGGCCGAGGCTCGATGCACTGGCCACGCGGGAACCAGGGAGCTCCCTCGTCGGCTAGCCCTAGGACACGAACCCTCGAGGGTTTCATTCCTTTCTTGTCATTCAGGAGTTCATTCGTTTGCGTACTCGTTCGCAGAACAGCGGGGACTGTTGGGCAAATTTTGCTACGGGAATAGCAGGTCGGTATGAACCACGGGCAAGTGCCCTGTCAATCTCACGTCGCGGCCGACAATCACGTCGAT